TAAATAAAAAAAATATTTCAAAATTCAGAAAAACCTCTTCATATGCAATATAAAAAATCGGAAAAAATCCCTTAGTAGTTTCTATACGATATCTATCTCATGTGATTTTTTGGCGAATTATGGATGATTTTTAAAAAATGGATTTTTTCAAAAATCAGTTTTTCAGGTTTTGGGTTACGGTAAAGCTGGGGGTCTGCAATTTTGCACACATACATATAGTCGTGCCTGACTACACCATAATTTTTTCAGAGTTTTAGGATCACTCTGGAGCGAGTTATGAGAAACCCGGTTCAAGACCAGGCCATAACTCGAGAGTGGGCGGGGCTAAGGGGGCGGGGCTAATACCAAAAAATTCTCCAGGTGAAAATGGTCCGGGGGAACTTGGTCCGAGGGGCAGGGGTTAATGGGGGGCCCGGTACGGCGGGGTAAAGATTACTGGTTGAGCCTATTCAATTTTCCAGTGGGTCTCACCCAATAAATAAGAGACTTTGCAATATATTGTATCGTCGTGCAATATATTGCACAGCCTATAATGGTGAATTTTCGCTGGTCAACGCGAATACATTGGGAGTGAAAAAATCACTTATTACTGTGTAAGTGACGGACCAAAATTTCGAAAATTTTTTAAAAATCGGGAAAAATTGAGTAATGCTGGGGGCATAAGATAAAAGGTATTTAAACATGTTAGGGCTTTGGTTAAGATACTTAGGGACTTTTGAAAATGTTAAAAGTGGTTTTTGAAGGATTTTGAAAGTTCGTGTATTTCAAATTTGAAAATTTCTAGGATTCTTTGAGAAGGTTAAGAAAAATAGATGAGTGTTAAGGGGATAAGGCGGAAGGTATTCAAGCATGTTAGGCCCAAATTTTAAATTTTTTAAGGGTTTCTAGAAATGTTCAAGGTGCTTCTTAAGGATTGTTGAATGCTCGCAAGGTCGGAAATTTTAGAAAATTCTAGGATTTTTTTTAAAAGAAGGCACAGAATAATAGATGAGTGTCGCGAAGATAACGTAAAAAGGTTTAAGAGTTGTTGAAATAATGATTAAGTGGCTGAGGTCTTTTAGAACTAGTAGAATAAGGGTTTTCGAATATTTACGGGTGTTTGGATGTTACGAAGCTTCGAAAACCTTTAGAATTTTCTTCCAGAAAATCTAGCGAAATAGGTGAATGTTTGGGAAAAAGCGATTACCTCTAAAATGTGAAAGTAGTTTGGTGGCTGTAAAACTTTGGAAAAAAAATCAGATAGGTTTTCGAGTACCTAGAAGACGTTGAACGTTACGAAAATTGGAAAAAAATTCCAATTTTTTCAAGAAACCGTAAGGGTCACGAAAGTATTAAGTAGATAAGTGGATGCAATTGTGGACGTACGTACTTCAGCGTAAATTGTTTACCTCTTAAAGGAATGAGAATGATAATGGAAATCCTACGAACTTATGAAGACGAATGCCCCTGCTATCAAGTATACTGCTCGTACAGATTCTTACTCCCTCTCAACATGTTTGTCGTGGAGGATGGAAAGAATACCTAGGAATAGGGGACGGCATAAAATTTACTACTGGAGCTCCAGGAAGTGAAGCTTTTCTATAAACCGTGATCCCTCCCCAGCGGAGGTGGTAGTGCATGCGGCCCTACGTCGAAAATAAGAAGTGATTTCCTGGGATCCCCAGGGGAACAAAATTTACCATGTACGCGCATACGGGATTAAGCGGGCATGCTGATGACAAAAATGTGGTAAGTTTAAGAGAACTGCATCTAGAAGTGGTACAGGAACAAACGTTGTATAGAACGAGGGAATGGTGTCCTTCATTATAGTATATTGATAGATTTGGGCGGAGCACTATATGCCAGCTAGTACTTTTATATGAGAGTAGTAGCAACACTTAAAGGCAGCGTTCCGGCAAAAAGAGTGCCGGATTGTGGCGATGTCAAAGTAGACCCCCCTATCTTAGCGATGACTGAAGTTCGGAGGGAAAGAGGAGGTCTACTAAGCTTGAAATTTGCTCCGAAAGTAGTCCAAATCTTACAGTAGGCTCGGACGCCGCCCACACAGCTATCGATTTGCAAGGCCAGAGTGTGTATAGCGCACACAGTCATGAGCGCAGGGTCCCGAAACGACTCCGCGTCCCTACCTTGCATGCATCCCGCACTCGCCTGAGCCTACCGTAAGATTTGGGCCACTTGAGGGGCATTCGCAGACCCCCTTTCGCGCTGCAAACTTCTGTCGTCGGTTAGTTAGGGGATCTACTATTACATTACTACCCAGAGCCAGGTACCCCAGTCTAGCGAGACGCTGCCTTTGAGGATAGAAGGGCTTGAAATCCACAACTCCGGAGCTTTTGGGTATGCAGCTTTCTTTCAAGTTACAGTCCCTCCCTGGAGGAAAATTCTGAGTGTGCAGAAAGGAAAGCCAGCTAGTAAGCGGGACTTCTCGTGTGAGCTTGATGTAGAGCGACTGCTCGTTCAAAAATCTAAGTATTTTTGCTCGTTCAATTTTTCAACCTCTCTGCTAAGATAAGCTCTGTTTTTCACAAACAGTCATAAGATTCTATGGCGCAACCCTCGTACGGTTACGGAGCTAGTTAAAGCACAAGGTGCGAAGCCTCGTGAGTGAAAAATGCTGTTGTAGTGTATGGTAGCGACACAGATAAATGCAGAAATGTATTTGGCAATGATTAAACAGGACATCCCTCCATTCCCCAGTCGCTGAGGGATAGGTAGTGTCTATGATCTTTCCATCCGCTGATGGGAAGTTTTGATGAGTTGCTGCACTTCGTGTTGGATCAGCTTTATCTATAAGATAGAATGGCTTGTTTTCAAGTGAAGTATTCAAAAGCGGTAAAAATCTTATAGCTCCTTTACCAAGGCACACTTCGTAATTTGAATCAGGCTCCATGCCATTCGGGAACCATACCTTAATAAGTCCGCAATTATGGACCGCCAGTCCAGAAATGCTCTAGGTTGCAACAAATGTTTGAATGAGAAGTATGTGAAAGTTCTCCAGGTTCTCTTGCTCTCAGATTGTATTAGGTCGTTCCATAAGATCGTAGCGTTTTCATTCTCGTCCTTCCTCCTGTTCTTGAGGAGCGGCTAGTTTGCGGCAAGATGCGTATATCATTTGAAATGTGATTGTGCTCTTTAGGATACGCCTACTGATTTCGGTGGAATTTTGACTTACTTGGATTTCGCAGCTTCCAAAGTTGGAAATCTTGGAAGGCAAAAAGGAGCAATTTCGGCATTTGCGCATTTTTCATCATGAAAAGAAGCGCTTTTGCACAGATTTTTGTGTCGATTATGGAACATGGCGCTCGCACATCAATATGTGACAAAAAAGACTTGGATTGCTATAAAAGTTTAGGGGCTGAGCAGGGTGTCCCTGATCAAGACTTTTCGGGGGACGCGCAGGACGTCCTGCACTAAAAGTTGCTGTACAGGTAAGTGATAGTCAACCATACCGTAAGCAATCCTACTGCACCGTCTAAACCAGGTCCCACCGCAGAAAAAGCTTAGCAGGCAGGTTTAGTGAGCTTTTCTGCATGATGAAACATGGCCTCATGCGGCAAACGTCGTCAAAACTGTCTTGCACGATTTGACTGGAAGATACTTCAGTGCACAAATTACTCCTCAAACCTCGCTCTATCACTTATTACTTGCTTCGCTCTTCGGAAAACCTCATGAATGGTGCCTGTCTCGATTTCAGTAAGTAGTTTGAGCGCTGATTAGATGATTTTCTTGGGACCCGGCGCGCTGCCGTTTGAAAAATTGAGGTTGAGAAGCTAACAAGAATGTGCCAAAAGGTCGTGCGCTACAACGAGGAATACAATTTCTATTGGTTTTTACTGTAAATTGATGATTTTGTTGGTTTATAAAAACGCTACGAACTTCTGGAGCAACCTAATATGTTCCTTATATACATATGTATTTGAAGGATAGTAAGAAGAGACTAAAAACGGCTTCTCGTTTAGCTCGTCTACATTACGGTTCCTGCTGTTTTGACGTATGCAAAACACGGACTATGAAGAAACAAGATTAACATGCAATCAGCGTCACCAATTGTCTCATCATTTGGTGATGTTGGGAGTCTGACCAATGCAAGTGAAGGTAGGCAGAATACGAGATTTTACCCTACGTCAACTATTCAGGGCCACGACAGCATGTGCCGATAGAAAGACACTAGGTGAACCGGATACCTAACGCGCTTTGACGCAAGCGGTGACGAGGGTGTTCACTTGAACAAGGAGACCGCCGACACGGTTGTCAAATATGTTCACAAAGTCCATTGAAGTCATTCAGGTTGTTTCTCCTGCTGCAAACTCCAACACTGGACAACAGTCGCCTGTGACGGGCGGTGATACAGGTCACGGCTCGGAACACCTGGGACCGGGATTTCGTCGTTAGGAAAGGCAAAGGGGATATCGTTTTTGCATTGCATTTAGCAAAGTACTGAAAAATCACGGAATTATGTGTCTACATCTCAGCATATAAAGAAAAGCTAGCAGGGCTTACAGTAACGCAGATTTTCCTCGGTATAACTGTTCATTGGCTGTTCCAGACATGTGCATCAGTCTTAACAAGTCAAACTGGGATGGACTGCGCGTTTCAGCACAGCGAAGAATTCAAAATTATGCTTTAAACAAAGAAAGGCTCTGCATACAACCATAACTCAATGATATGGCACTGAACTTGGCGCACACAACGAAAGAGTGCCCAACTATTCCCAAATTTACCCACTGCAGCTGGATATCAGCTGAGCTACATACCATTTGCTTACACTGTGTCTCATATCAAAGTTATTTCGAGTACAAATCTGTTTTATATTTTTCTGAGCATTTCTAAACCTCAAAAACTTTATTTTCCTTAACTGAGCGCTTTCAAGCAGACCAACGCGCGAAGCTCTCGCTTCAGCTAGGCTCGTTCCCACTTGCATTCCTTCTTTCAATTCTTCCTAGTTTGTGCTGATATTGCTTACGCTTTCTTAAACTTTAACATTCATTAAAAGTTTTAAGATGTTTGGGTTGATTGCTACGCTTTCGCTTGTGGTGGTCGGAGCTCATTCCGCCGTCTTTTCCGATGATTTCGCTTACAACAACATGCTCCCTCTGGCTGCTGCAGCTTATTCAGACCATCCGGATGCATGCGTCAGAAATCACTTTAACGGACAGGTAAGGCGTGATTCTTATCATGAAAGTAGGGAATAGCACATCGTATGCAAATACATTTGTCTCTTCGGAATAGGTGTATTAACTTTCAAAATCTTTGCCTTTGCCTGAAAGTAAGAAGTGAATGGGGCAAATGAGCACATGAGGGAGTAGCCTTTGATTCAACTGGATCGGCGGCTGAAAGGCGGGTATTTGCGACCGAATTAAGACCGCTCGCGTCCGCGACGCAATCTGCGTCTCTCTCGCGCGCTTACTCTCTGATCATTCTCTAGCCTTAACTGAGCCACGAAGCCGCCTTCCAGCCGCCAATCCAGTTGAATCAAAGGGTAGAAACAGAGACTATCCCCATCAAAGACACAAGAAGATATGCTTCACGTATTCACAGCTGCCATGCATACATTTGTCATCATCACATAGGTAACAAAGAAAGTGAAGCATGGCATGGCAAAAATCAAATTAAATCAGGCGAAGCTGCTAACATACTCATGGCCATATATAGGTAAATGTAATTTTCGCATTCATACAGACAAGGTCTTGAAATAAGCATTTCCAAGCTCTAACCTTTACACTCATCGCCTGCACTTTTACTCAAAGCTGCTACAAAGTGTGATGATGTGCACTAGAGTCTAATGACTGGGAATGAGCAATGTGATTACTAGTATAAAAAAAAGATTTTTCGTTCTTTCAAAGGAGATAATGCTTTCAAAGCAAAGATTGTTCAGATCTACAGATTTTACAAGGTGGACTGCAAAGGCCCTTGGAGCGGAACTGCATCAGTCTCATGTGCGGCATATACGGCCCTGCTACCCAGTAGGAAAGCAATAGTGCTGAGTTTCAGGTTACTTTGAAATTATATGTCTTTATATGTTCAATGATAAGTCCTTGAACGACTACAGGGCTTCATTAACATTGCTTTAGATAATTACCATCCACATAGGCGTTGACTAGGGCCCGCGGCGGAGGTGTTAGAAGCAGGCTAAACTTCGTACATTGGCAGAAAAATGTATTTCGTAAAAATGTCATACAGGCATATGAGCGACCAAGTAGACCAACACACTTTTAAAGAGAGGTTACTACAATAATGACATGCTTCACCGTGTTTTTTCAGCAAGCGATCTGAAAAAAGCAAGGTTAAAACATTAGCTTGTTTGCAGTTCAGAACCAAACTCATGACCTCTCGAGGTTATCCAAAAATTTACTCTTGGACAGGAATGCTGACCCAGCCTTGTCTTTCTTTTTCTAATTGAAACAGCTCGCTATACTGTACTGCATTCCAAACTATGCCATTTGCAAGTGTCGCTTACCTTAAAGCGTTTTCAAGCGAAGCGGAATTCGCATTTGAAGCTTTCAGTTGCGGTGTCAACATTCGTATTTTTGCCCTCTTTCTTCCTCTTTCCCTTCGCACATGCATTCCACCTACGCTCGCTAATTTTACTCATACTTCTCAAGATCAAGAACGTAAATAAGTTGAAAATTGTTGCTCCATTTCGTTAATATATGTGATTTTGTGTATGCTCGCTGCTTTTCAAAAGAGCCTTTGTAAAATTAATGATAGGTAAGTAGTATCTCTGTTTTGGAAAAGCTTAAGCGGTGCGTGCAGGACCCTAATCTAGACTTAAGGCTTACCTTTATTTGCAAGTACCTCCGATAATTATCCCTAACAATAAGTATATAAAACGATAATATTTGGTACCAATTTTATTTCAACAATATTACACTTTGTTTTTTACAGAGGGACAAACACACCCATGCAGCTTTTCAAGGAACTTGTTCATTGTAGATTGAGTCAAGAAGTAAGTCAAGCTATCACAAAATGCTTGTATGAGCGGAAGTTTTTTTTATAGAAAGAATGGCTCGGTGTTGCGCAGGTGAACACCTACTTCCTTAGTGCTTTCAACGACTTGTTTCACACGAGAATGGATAAACTAGAAAGGAGCACTATGTATGATGATGTCAAAGATCTGATTAAGCAACACTCAGAATATGAGATTTGGGTACGCGCTTTAAGGAGAAAATTTTCCTTATTATGTGAGTTCAGATAACTGGGCACTCACTGGGAGGTGCATTGGCATCTCTGGCGGCATCTTATTTAGTGGAGAAAAGATTTGCACCGAGCTCAAAAATAAAGTTAATGACGTTCGGCCAGCCCAGGACAGGCGACGAGGAATTTGCTGATAGGTTTAATAAAACGGTATGACAACACGGTATACGACTACAAGCACATCTGTATGTAAAAAAGTTTTCGAAGCTTGAGCAGCACCTATTTTCCGCACATTATTCTATCCGCGGTCATCTGAAAAAGAGGAGAAGGAAACAATTTTATAAGATTTAGCGCTTACGAACATTCTATTTAGAACATGTAAAGAAAGAAAAAAGTAAGGAAGAGGTTTGGGAAATAGCATCACACGTCTTGAAATTCGAAACTCTTTACAAGCAGAGTTTATTTCTTTTACTATGCAAAGCAAAAAGCGAAACTATGCATGCTTAGACTATCTTAGTATAAAGTCTTAAAACAATCTCTAATTTGAGAGCTAATACTGTCACTGGTTTTTACCCTTTGCAGATCGACTATGCATTCCGCGTCATCCATGCCAATGATGGGGTACCTCATGTCCCACCCGAAAAGTTCGGATACCGCCATCATAAACAGGAGGTGAGCATTGTGAAACATTCCATTACGGTGCACTCTGTTCGTAGTAGTTTTCGGCTAATAATCGTTTAAGTTGGTGTCTACGCGATGAAACAAGTGGACAGAAAATTGTCAAATTGAGTTAAAGAAAATTCTATTCAAGGGAATCTTGCAATTGGCGTGCCAATACGCAAATCAGCGACAAATGAAGGTGCACAGTCGCAATTGCACCACTTTTCCACGCGCCTAACACAATAGGCAATGCCTTAGTCACCAGTTTCGATCTTCAGCTCACCTTATCAAGGACATTAAGAGATCTGAGAATGACCGCAAAAGAAACCACAAAAGAAAATTTGGCAACAAACTTGTTTTTGCTAGTTGTGTGTAGCGCATTCGTTGAGAGAGATACTATGTGCAAGGGGGCCCTGACTCGTTGTTACTTATAGGCATGTAGTATCCAAAAAACTTTTTTTTTCGAGAAAGTTCTTTTTGTTTGACCACACGGTAACCTGCAATTTTTCTTCGTTCGCATGTATAGCTTAGGAAAGCACATCTAAATACGGCGTGGTGATTTAGTTTGTCAGAGGACATGTAGAATATGAACGCGAAGAATGTAGTGAATGTGCGATCGCAATCAAAACGTTTCTGGAGTGACCTATTATCTACTTCTGTATTGTTGCAACCTATATGGTGAAAGGAGACAAGGAATTTGATCACACAATCTAGAAATATTCTTAGCACATTTCACCCCGCGCACCTTTACAAGCAAATCGGCTTGCATGTGACAGGATATAAATGCAAATAAGCAAACTTGCCTAGGAAAAAAGCGCATTCGAAATGAGATAAATATGTTTGCTGTAAAAAGTTCCTTTTTTCGCCCATGTTTGCCGCTCTTTGTTATGTTTTAGCCGCTCCTCGTTAACTGAGCTATTAAATGGGAAGGTTTTCTAAAAAGCTGTTTTACCAGTGACTTCTAATACAACTACTGCTTACAAACTTATTCAGGTTTACTACTCTGGGCAAGACATGTTAGCAGGGAAAGGGAAAATGTGCAACCCCGGTACAAAATTATGGTTTTTGTTTATCGACAACAACACATCTTCCGATTACAGGTCAATGCAGCGATAAGATTAACTGGCTTACCTACGATTTCTCTAATACCCATAAGTGCTATTATGGAAAGTACGTCAGCGAATGGGGAATTAGTGGATGTGTCGTAGATGACGAATATCGTAAAAAAGATATCTGCACAACTGATGCATAATCTTGAAAAGAATACACATTCTTGCATCTACTTGTTTCATTTACACCCTTCAGCATTTTAATTAGTTTCAGATATATTATCAAAAAACGAGATTGTACTCGGCCTTGTCCAACATTGAAAGGACAACAGCATAAGATAAGAATGACAACCAAATCGCTCCAAATCCCTGATAACAAGCAAATAACCGCGGCAAGCTTGGTGTCCATTGTGCGTCACGCATATATGAGTGTTTTCAACGAAGTGGCTTCATTTTGCTGCCACTCTGCTTTCATGTTATTTTATTTCCATCATGAATTCTGCTACCATTCGAGTAGATTTTCCGCTTGATATATTGTGCTTGCACAGCAAGTGAAATGCGGTAGAATTTGCGCATGAACAAATAGCCAGCCAGTAATGCCGTCACGTGCATAGCTACTTGTTTACGCGCAGGTTTTACGCAATTTACCTGCAGTGCAAGCACACTATATTACAGGCAGTGACTCGGCAAATCTCGATCTGTGGTTTTCTCGCTTACTTGGGGTGATTCGACGCGCTGAATCCAAAAATTCAACCTGAAGAGCGCGAAAATGGCGGTAACTAGCACTTCTCAAAACCCTTTGTTTTGAATCTGAACGAGCGGAACGCTCCCGCCACGGTTAAATACGTAGAGTCGTTGCGGGATCCTCATGTTCAAGCACTGCGGCATGCCGCTTCTGACGGTGTGAGAGATATCGCAAGCTCGTCCGAGCGTGTGTTAGAGTAGCTTGTGTGCACGGGTTTAGGACCAATTTTTAGGCAGAGCTAGCATGCTGTGCGCTCGGACCTGCACCGTTCGCATGTTGAGAGTGCAAGCAATCTTTCATGAAAATTTCGAGATATTTGGTCTTGCCGAGCCACTGCCTTTAAACAGAAAATCTACTCGACTGTACTTGTATACAGCACTCCCGCAATCGGAGAGTTAAATTCACATCCTTGTTACATACTCTTTGCTTCAACCAGATTGGCGGTTGGAAGGCGGGGCTTCGTGACCTAGTTGAAGCTGGGAAATGATCAGAGTGAGCGCGCTCGGGAGAGACGCAGACGCGTCGCGGGCGTCCCTGATTAGGTCAGAACGTCTCGGCTTCCAGCCGCCTATCCAGTTGAATCAAAGATTACTGTTAGTGCTTTATTGAACGCGCTGCGAAGTTTTTCAAGGATTCAGGAATTAAGAGTCCACACTACGATAATAGCAGCAAAAAACTTTGTTATTGCTTTCAGTAAGTATAAAGAAAATGAGAAGTGAACAGGAACGTAAAACAGCGGCAAAGTCATAGTGATGACTGATTTGTCCGCATCATATGAGCATTCGACGTAAGTTACTTGAACCTATTTGAGCACCAAGTCTCCGAGCAGAACTCGAGATACAACTGACCAACATGTGTGAACAGTGCTTAAGTGCAACAACCTAATGTCAGTAAAAAGTAACGTTTTGACGAATTCTTCACATCGATTTTGAAATTAGTTCTTGTCGATATATGTGAGCACTTAATCAAACCGCAACTACTTGAAAGGAACCGCAACTACTTGAAAGGATCGAGATTGAAGAACTAAACCATTAAAACAACCACAAATTTTAAGTAAGGTAGTTTGACGATTTGATGGAGATTTTGAAAGGACCACAACAGAGATAGCACCATCATACACTTTTGCCGCGAACAACGGGAGCGATAGTTGTACAATGATCTGAGACCGTAGATTCTAATAATTCACAGAACTAAGTATGCTTCCTATGTGTTTCCAAAATCTGGTGGTTTACTTAAGCTCCTAGTACAAAAATCATATTTCCGCTAAGCACAACGAAGAAGTTTTCTTGATATTTTTATTACGACTTGATCGTAATACCATGCTCTCTCTAGCTGCTGCAGCTTATGTTAGCAATTCAAGATTGGCATCGGATAGCATTTTAGTAATGCCAAAGGTTTTCAACAAAAGTATCAGATAGCGCAGCGCATACCGAATACGTATAATTTATAGTACAAAATGTACTCATTTGAGATGCGGTCTGTCATGTGCCCGACCACAGAAAATGACTAGTCGAATGGTTTTCCAAAAAGAGAAGTTTTGATTGCATGGTACGCTGAGTTCAAATGTTTTCCTTATCTGTAAAGCTCTCTGTGAAGCTCTATCTGTGAAGACTCATGAGCGTTTGAAGCAAGACGTGGATGCGCTGCTAAGATAAAATCTAATATTTCTAGCCATTAAAGCAGGTGTATATAAGTTGTTTAGAAGTTTTTGCTGCGTGAAGATCTCACTGCTGTAGTCGATAGTAAAAAAAATTGTTACGGCTGTTCAAATTATTGCACCAGTAAACGCTCATAACTCCTCATCGAGGAAGCTTTGAAGATAGCTAGATTCACCTTCATGCAATAAAGCCAACAACATCTTACTTAACAAGGCCACTTCTACTGACCGATTTCCTTGTTTTCCGTTGTTGCGCACAACCTTCTGCCACCTTACCGTAAAATTTTCATTTTCATTTAAAGCAATCTAATTTTTTTTGTCTCATACTGAAGGGAAAGCTCCATTTATATTCAAAAAAAGGCAAACCATGCAAAAACACTTTGCAAAAAAAGCGGGCAGGCATCGAAAATGCTTCTTACCCTTTGAAAACTCCACATTTGTAAGCTAAAAAATCGAAGTGGTTTAGCTTTTCGTAGAAATCAATGCGTTGATTATAAAGAGTATGATTGGCTCTTTTCAATGATGCGCGCAGCTTGCCGCAAGTCAATGGCCCTGAAATTAAGACAAGAATGAAAACGCGACGAACTTATGGGAAGGCCCAAAAAAGGCGTTTCAAGTTTGCGCAAGATTTCTATATTCTGTTTCAAAGATCGCATAAAAAATTTGCTTCAATACTTCCATATAAGTAGCCCTGACATTTTTTAGAAGTCGGCAAGGCAAGACTTCGTTACGGCGATGTTCGCCGTCTCGCGTACCCAAGCTGTGTAGCTCCGAAAATTAGCATTTTGAGTATTTAACCTACGAATTCGGTAATTTTAAAGCCACAAACTATCCCTTCTGTCTTTTTTAGATGATCCGCCTACCGTCTTCCTCAGGATGCTTTCAGATGATGCCCAACACCAACGTTAAAAAAGGCGTTAGAAAGAAGAATTTTTTCTAAAGTCTACAGAAATGATTTTTGAAAAGTTTCAGCACTCCTGAAGCGCAATAGAAGTTAGAGCATTCTTTGCTCACGTGTAGCAAATTTTTCAAGCTTATTCGTAGGCAATCTGACTAATTAGGAAGGCGACGTAACGTAGTTGTCGAAAGTGAACTTTTTCCCTGTTTGATATTCCAAATTTGACGCTGTAGAACTTTTTCATGTCATCTGATGTAGAAACCCGAATTGAAAGTTTAGTAAAAAAAGGCTTAAAGCTTTCAAATGCATATAAACCATTTACCGAACATCGCGGGAATTATTGAGAAAAAAATCGAAAGAAAAAATGGGGCAGAATTTATTACACAACCTAATATATTCATCAGCAATCACTGGTTGTCGTCTGCTCAAATACCAGAATAATTTTAAAATTAAAAAGGGCTGTCGGAAATTTGACGTATCTATAATGGGATCACGCATCAAACTGAGACCTAACAAACCATACTAAAAAAATTGCCATTGACCTACCTTGCAGCAGTTAAGCTGCTAAATCACAATTTGTTCCGACAGCCAGAAAAAAAGAACGCTGAGGAGAGCGACGACCACTAAAAATTAAGGGCATTAATGCAGTGTATTTATTACAGCGCAGAGTATGTAAGAAATATCTACAAAACATGCTGTGCATTTGACTTCCAAATATCCCTACTCCTCTCCTACAAAAACAATACCCTTGTTTTAGCAGTATGGATTCAGTTTAGAAAGTGGTGCGAGTAACTGTGCTCATTTTAGAATTTCACAGGCAAGCTATAGCTAGTCTTAAACCGAAAACTTTTTTGTAACCATTTTCAATCAATTCTCGCTGACCTTCGCTTTACTCAAATCAGTATGAGTGTGCTTTTCTAAAACGAGTAACAATTGCAACTTTGTCACATATCCTGAGGACATCACGATACCGTTGCGTGACGGAAACAATCATAATCGGTCCACTGCGCAGCCAGATACTATTTCTCTCTTTCTTTTCATTTCTAAGAAATATATCGAATTGCAGAATGGCAGAGACGACACTAATCCGTCTAATTTTCTCATTTTTTCAGCAACAGGCTTGGATCTTAGTATCCGTGATACCGTTGCCTCTTGGCGAACAAAACGATTAATATGTAAGTAAAGGACGTAGAGCTACATAGAAGATGAGCTTAATGTTTCTGCAGGGCATTCACACTAGTCGTTACACTTTGCCTTGCGGCTTCACTCAATGCTGTCAGATTATTTGACTACAACTTCGTTAGGAATCAAATGTTCCCTCTGGCTGCCGCCGCCTATTCGGATGAGCCAAGGGGCTGCATACTCAATCGCTTCAAAGGCTATAATGGAACTCATGGGAACTTGGTAATTCGCTTTTTATTATATCTGCTCTTTTCTTCGAAAGAGGACATGACAGCACGAGCTGAGCATGATAATTATTTGCAAGTACAGAAAGTTCTGCTTAAAATTCAAACATCTTTGCTTGTGCACGTTGCGTAAAATGTTAAAGCAGATCTTTATCGCGTGCGTTAATTGCTCGAAAGAAAAAGTACGCTTTTTCTTGTTAGTAAATGGAGAGATGCCTTAAAAAGGAAAGCGCTTTCAGGCCTGCATACACGTGCACCCCCCCCCCCCCCGCGGGGAGGAGAATTTTCTGAAAGGGGAAGCGTCATATCTCGCTACTACAATAATCTTTAACCTTTTTTCTCTACTTGACTTAGGAAGGTTCTCATATACGTGCGTATAATGGATGCAAGGTTACAGCCATGGGGATCCTCAGGGGGATCACACAACATAATGAAAAACTCTCATTTTCAGCGCTAATTATCTTTCTGAAAACTCAACGAAAACGCTGTGAAATTGTAATGAGGATATAATTGGCACAGCCAAACATGTTTTTGGCGGGAGAAGTAAAATTCAAAGATTGTGAATTTCCGATAATCTCTAGCTCGCGAGCAGTGGTTCATCGAAGATTTTGAATTTCTGGGATTTTACTTGTTTTAGCTATAGTCGTGTTCGATAGTGTCATACTACATCCTCAGCACAATGTTCCAACGGTTTCGTTGACTTTTTGAGAAGGTAAATGACTTTGTAATGAGAGGTGATCCTTTGAGGATTCCAGCGGATCACACAAGATAGTGAAATTGTGTTCTTGTATGACAGTACCATGGCAACTATTATGCGCAGGTATCAGGGTATGAGAGTTCGTAACCAGATTGAGAAAGCAGAAAGAAGGTATCTAAAGTAGCGAAATACGTGGCGTCCCCTCTCAGATCCCCTCCCCTTTCCACGGGGATGTACGTGCATGTGGGCTTTAGTAATGGCCGCTTGAAGTTAGATTTATGTTGATGAACTCAGATGAAAACTGCCATCTCAACAAAAAGCTGGCGGTGAAAAGATTCGATCCTGGAACCTTCTCTGCCATAAAGACCATACTCAAGGCACCATTAAATCGTTGCTGCACCACCTGCAGTGCTGTACCAAATAGTGCATTCAGTTGGACCTACAAGTTTTTCAGAAGAGTGTACGGTAGGTAACGATTGCGGCTTTATTCAGCATTCATGACTGACTTCAGTGTCATACTTCTAAGCTCAAATGGTCACTCCAAGTTTTTCTTTCTAATTTAAAGTTCAACAACTTATCAGATGATATGAGGTATTTTTGCCCAGCAGTGAGGTAAATATTCATAAAATTAGTGGTGCATAGTGCTTGCAATACATGCAGGAAGCAAAATGATTCTGCGTTTGTAGATGAAATTTGAAAGGTTGTAACGCTAGTACGTTTGTCATAACTGAATAATAAAATTATCCTCAAAACTTCTATATTACATTTTGAAACACCAGAATATTCGTAACGAGATTTTTTTTCAGTTTTTTGACCATAATCTTGTTCAATGCGATGGTTTTGAGAATGACTGCTATGGATTCCTAGCCACACTAACCGAACAGTCGGCGATAGTTCTTAGTTTCAGGTCAGCTCTACCTTCAGTTTACAGCAGTCGTATTTACAATAATTTTTGGCTAGATAACGAACCGAAAGCTTCGCTCTGAAGCTAACATGTGCAACGCTTATATCAGCGTCTATCTTCGGGGAATTAAGCTATCCGCCCACTTCAGTGAACACAAAAGAAGACTGTAATGTCGTCAGCAGGAGATGAGCCAAGCATCTCAGTGGAAGCGGCTCGTGTTCGATGTTGCATACGATATATAGGAGGATATGCTTGTGCGGACGGATGCGTTATAACTCACATTGCTATTGAATCCAGCTCTGCTAGTTGCGGTCTTTCTGTCAGTTTTTTGGAGGGGTATGACTGCGGCCGGCCAAAGCCCTCCAGTATGGTTTTAGCGTTCAAATAATTCAAAAGTGAAGGTGACTATCGTAAGCGGCAAGCTTAAATTATAATACGCTCTCATAATGATCATTGCTCTGCTTGAGCGCTTTAAAACTTCAACGCGCACGCACTGAAGCTGTTACCAACATTTCAAATCACTGCCTTACGTCACAATATGACACCTGGTGGTCTATTCGGAGTGATGCTGAAAAGGACGAGAAAAGAAGCACATGTTGGATATGGGTAGTGCGACCAATATTATGCTCATAATCACTTTTCTGGGCTCATGGGTTTGAACAGAACTACCTGGTATTGACCAGATTCGTGGGCCAATTATCGAGCAACCTCGCAGCACATATACACTTCCTGCGTAGTGTTTGAGGGGAGGCCGTTGTAAATTATCGACAAGGTCGACCTGATAGCACATTACGACAAAATAATTAATCATGATTTCGGATCCGCTTTGGTTTCGCATAAGCTTTCCTGCAAACACCTCGTTCGCCATCACTTTCGTGCTAGTCAAGACAGCCTGTGCTAAAGAACATTTGCAGCATTTGTCCGTTACTGAGACACTGAGGTCTGCTTTGAAGATGAAAATCTCAGCCGCAAGCGCAGAATCTGAGCTGCCGCTCAGTGTCTAGTCGCAGTGTCTTGATTAAAGCCCTAAAATTACTATCAACGTGAGATCCGCATAAGTCTAGATTTGATCAACGCTGCTTCTAAACAAAACGTTTGATTTGCTTTCGGCAGCTTACAATATAAATCACGTCTAAAATGTCCACACGTCTCCAAACAGACCGATGAATGAATTCACTCATAACGCTTGTGAACTTCTTGTGTAATCCTTTTCAAAATAGAGAACTTTACAGAATGCTAGAGCTAGGGAATACCCACCAAGTAGAACAGCGAGCAGACGTGCAAATCTTGCAAGACTATTTGAAATAAAGAAATTGCTTCGGATCAGTGTCCCTAGTTGGGGGACTAATACCATGTTATGTTAAGATTGCAAAGCATTGTATCTTCCAAAACGCTGCCTTCGTTCACGTGCTAAGTAAAGGAACTTGGAAATGTTTTTCAGGGATGCCAGTCTGGATGCCACGATGGGAGCGGCAACCCGAGCTGCGCCGAACGTGACACTCAGGTTGGAATTCCCTGCAGCTCAACAGTTATCATTACAGAGGCACCAATTATCTAAGTCAACTCAAGAACGAAGTTGCCACCAGCGCTGCTGTGGTAATTTGTGTGAAATAATTGGTGCGTAGATCAGCTGTTGCTTAAGGTCCCCATGGGGTTAGGTGAAGTGTCTTGGTACTTCTACAATGCTTTCTCAAAAGTGTGGGGAAATGACGCAAAAGGCGTAAAAGGTCTAGAACGTGCCTTCAAGGACCAGATCGAACGACACCCTAAGTACGAAATATGGGTATGTATTGAATGCACAAAGATCGTTTTCATGTGACCAGAAACTTTAGGTGACCGTCCTTTCGCTCGGAGGTGCCATGGCGTCTCTGGCAGCGTATCACATCGCCAAAACTTATAACAAGATATCTGAGCGGATAAATGAGCGGATAAAGCTGGTAACATTCGGAGAGCCAAGAACAGGCAATGCTGCATATGCTGAAGACTTCAATAAAAAGGTAGAAATTTACATAATCATTTACACAGCATGCTCGAATACCCGCTCTGCCTTGCTCTGTCAGTACACTATGTCAGTATACTAAAAACTACCACCTCTACTTTATATAAGTTTTTTTGTTCTTATTCTTCTTCCGTATGCCAGTATTCACTTCTCCCACTACGTTTTCGTATTCATTTTTTTTCGTGCTTATTTACCCACTGTGCCTGATGGTGGAGTAAAGCACAATTAGCATGAGTTTTCAAGTCTCTGAAACTCTACGCAGACTTTTTGAAATTCTCTCCAGTTTTTTTGAAACTTGTACATTTTCAAGTTTGTGTGAAGTTTGTATCATATCGTTCAAATATGGCTCAACGTGAGATAATTTAGAAAAATCTAGAAACTTTCAAATATGGCTCAACGTGAGATAGTATAGAAAAATCTAGAAACTAAGAAGAGAAATCTTAACAAACTGTCGTGAGGTCTGAAATTTTGGTCATTATTTTTTCGCAGATCGACTACGCATTTCGGGTCGTCAACGAAAGAGATCCAGTGCCGCATGTTCCATTTTCTCCACGTTTACCATTTTCTTCAAAACCCGGATACTACAGTCACCATAAGTATGAAGTGAGCAATTTGATTTTGGCAATTCGTTTTTTTTTTGTTGAAATTATCAGCCATAAAAACATCGAGTAAGTGCTTATAATGCGTAAGAGTTATGTATGATTTTTGTTCAGGAGATTCGACCCTTAGGACGCTTAGATGTTCTAGATCTAGCTTCAAAGTTTACGTATCACGATTTTTGCGTTCTCTGGTGTCATTTTGAAGAGCTTGCTTGGCTCTATCGTACATTCGTATAATTTTAGGGATTGCTTTTTTTGCCTTTCAATTTTTTAGGGTCTCGTTTCTTATACACGCTATTAGAAACATATTATTTGGGAGCAAGAGGACTTAGAAAACTTACTTCTTATCCAAACATTTGTTGCAATCTAGAACATTTTTGAATTGGCGGTCATTAATTTCAAATTTATTAAGGTATGGTTCCCGAATGGCATGGGCCTCGTTCAAAATTCTTGGTCTGCCATGGTAAAGAAACCTTGAGACTTTTTCCGCTTACAAATACTTTACTTGGAAAAGAAGCCATTCTATCTTTCAGATGAGGCTGAATCCAACGAGAGGTGCAGCAACCAACTTTATGTAAAAGGAATACTTTGGCATCATACAAAGTACTTTGACAAGAAGGTCAGCGACTATGGAATCAAAATGTGTTCGGTATAGGGTGTAATCATTGCCAAATACATATTTGCATCTATCTGTGTTGCTACCACACACTTCAACAGCATGTTTCACTCACGAGGCATCTCACCTTGTGTTTAACTAGCTCCATGAGCGTACAAGGGTTGCGCCATAGAGTTTTGTCTCACCTGACCAGAGGGAGCAAAATATCGTACAAAGCAAAAATCTTCAGATTTCTAAACAAGCAGTCGCAGTGCATTAAGCTCTTACGAGAAGCCCGCACACTTGTTGGCTTTCCTTTCTGCACACCCAGATAAATCTCTCTGAAGGCGCTGTTTGAATCAAATGGTTTAAAGGAAAGCTTCAATAATTTAATTTTTGATTCAACTGGCTTGGCACCATTAGGGCGGAGTTTTGTGGTCTAGTTGAGACAGCTCGCGCCCGCGACGCACCTGCGTTTCTCTCGCGCGAGTGCTCTCTGATCACTACCTAGCCTTAATTAGGTCAGAAAGCCTTGCCTTTGCCGATGCCAAGCCAGTTGAATCAAATGATATTTGTCCAAGCTACATGCTTCCGCTACAGCTGTAAGGTCGAAGGCATAGAAATCTTGTCGCTACGCAATCTTACACCGCAAAGACTCTTCATCATTAGTCGTAAAGGCGCTTTGTTTGTGCCAGACTTTATGGCATCTTGGATTCGTAGACATCTGCCAAATCGCAAAGTCGCCATAGCGCTTTGACGGAATCGCGAAAAGTACGCCGTAGGCCTAAAACTTTTCATCATTCACTACATGAAAGGAGGCTGTAGAAGTGTGCACGGCCAAAGAGAGCAATGCGAGTCGCGACAGCTAGCATCTGAAACTGCTCGCAGGAATGGCTATATCACTGTGAAGCCCCAGCAGCGAACATCTATTGGACACGCAAACAGTAGCCCATGCGAAGTAAGAACAATGACAATAAGATCCCTCTCTGTATGTTTTTTTTTTGTACGACAGCTTCAGTAAAGCAAACCAAATGCATAGTAGCACATTTTGAAAATGGGGTTATGCTGTGCAACATTCTCAGTAAACATCAGAAAGTTGTTTGAAACAGATTGCATGACGTAGAATATATACCGAAGAAATGCATGTATGCCCTTACGGAAATAAGGCGATTGAGCTGAGGGTATCGCTTATCACTTGGAACGCATGAATTGTGGCACGACGTACATAGGAGAAACTGAAAGAATTCTAAGTGTTAGTGGAAAATACCTGGTTAATAAAAGACGAGAAAACCTGTCATCACCATTAGGCGAGCATAAGACTGAGGTACATAATGATGGCGATTTTTTGAACATGAAATGTACAATTTTAGTGCACGAGGTCAAAATCTCCGCGAAAATCACTAGAGGCTGCAGTGGATATAGCGGAGTATGGACAACAGAAATGACCGAGTGACACAAACGGCCGATCTCTTGCCTCTTTCAGTCTGCCCCAATCCCAACCAGGCCAAAGTTGGCATGGTGGGAGCCCCGGGTCGCTGGGGTTTCGCCGTCACAACTATGGCCTGCTTCTCTGCTCCTCTTCAATCCTTTTGCTCTTTACGACAGCGCGCATAAGCAGCGCGGACCGCTAGCGCTGCGAGTGCGTGCGCTGAGGGTTCTGCCTGATCTCGAATGGAGCAAACTGTATGTCACAATGCGACCTACAGTAGCGCAGTATGTGTTGCTCTTGACTCACTGCTCTTGACTGACCAACAGTGATGTCCGTCAGATTCGTGCGGAATACTGACCGGTGGAGTAGAAGTCGGTGAATTAGTTTTAAAAAGTTGGATTGTTTCTCAACACATTGCGCCTCAACGAGGTTTGAACGGCGGAAGTCTGATGAGGCGTTTGGGTTGGATCACGCGGCAAAGTTTCAAAGATTTACTTTTCAGCCCTCGCTAAACCCTCGTCTGAAGCTTCACTTACTTTATGCGTTCATACTGATCTAGTCTGGGAAACAGTTCCAGCACAGCGATCAGTTCGAGCGCTGTGCTGGAAATGTTTCTGTATACTGTCTGGAACTACTTGAACTCAGCCTTTTCCAGCTGAGATTTTGTCTTGTTTTTTACTTGAGAGTACAATCGGCATGTTTTTCTCTTTACTAATTACAATTTGACAGTGCCCTCATCTCCGTCAAGTCCTAAGATGTAATTTACATCCCTTTTTTGATCGATCTATTGAAGGAACTTTGTTTAGTCGGAGTACCTTTTTTAGATGTAATGTATACCATAGCTGAGAGCATAAAACGCTGGATCAAATGCTTTCCTAATCTGCGGAACGTTTGTGGACGAGGATTTATAAGATTTTATTTGAGCAAAAAAATACATGTGCAAGTAGGACAAAAGTAGTCGTAAGTTTTTTCTAGAGCTTCAATGGAGCAGTGATGAGTATTAGAGCACCACATTCAATAAATACTCTTGGATAAAAAGTCATACTTGGTGGCTTTTTAAGAGGGCTATCAAGATTTTAACAGCTCATTTTATCCCGAGTGCACATTCACTTCTTTGTTCCCAAAACGCTTATTTTAGAAGTTGCTATTGTTGCCTTTCAATTTTTTAAGGGATCTTCTTGTTATCCACGTCTCAAGGAACATACAATCTGAGAGCAAAAAAACCTAGAAAACTTTCACATACTTCTCATTTGAACATTTGTTGCAACCTAGAGCATTTCTGACCTGGCGGTCCCTAATTGCGAACTCATTAAGGTATGGTTCCCGAATGGCATGCAGCTTGATTCAAAATACGAAGTGTGCTTTGGTAAAGAAACTATGAGACTTTTTCCGCTTTTGAATACTTCACTTGAAAACAAGCCATTCCATCTTACAGATGAAGCTGGATCCAACACGAAGTGCAGCAACTCACTAAAATTTCCCATCAAAGCATGGACAGATCATAGACACTACTTCGGAATACTCCTCAGCGACTGGGGATTAAAGGGATGTCCTGTTTAATCATTGCCAAATACATTTCCGCATTTATCTGTGTTGCTACCACACAGTACAACAGCATTTTTAACTCACCAGGCTTCGCACCTCGTGCTTTAACTAGCTCCGTAAACGTACGAGGGTTGTGCCATAAAATCTTATGACTGTTTGTGAAAAACAAAGCTTATCTGAGCAGAGAGGTTGAAAAATTGAACAGAGCAACAATACTTAGATTTTTAAAAGAGCAGTCGCAGTACATCAAGCTCACACGAAAACCCCCGCTCATTGTTGGCTTTCCTTTCTGCACACTCAGATGAATCTCTCTAATGGCACTGTTCGAATCAAATGTTTAGAAATGAATGCTCTAAGAATCTACTTGTTCAAGCTACATCTGTCCACCCTACAGCTGTAAGACCGAAGGCATACCTCAGACGAATTCAGTCGCTGCGCGATCTGGCATCGCGAAGACTCTTCATTATTGATCTTAAAAGCCCTTTGCTTGGGTTGGATTCCATGCTTTTGCAACAACTCACAGAAATTACTCACTCGTGCATTTAAACCCGCTCACGCTGATTCTGTGGAAATCCGGCAAACGCCAATTCGCCATAGCGTTTTTACGGAATCACAGAAAGTATGCCTTAGGCCTATAACTTTCCATCATTCACAAGATGTACAAAAGGCTGCAGAAGGGTGCACGGCCAAATAGAACGATTCGAGTCGCGACAGCTAGCATCCAGAACTGCTTTGAGGTATGGCTATACTACTGCGAAGTCCCGGCAGCGAACATCTACTGTACACGCAAAAAGTAACACTATGCGAAGTGAATGACAACAGGAACCTACTCTGTAAGCCGTATTTGTTCAATAGTTTCAGTAAGGCAAACAGATGCATAGTAGCAGTTAGAAAATGAGGTGGCGCTGGTCATCATTGCTTGTGGTAACATCAGAAAGTTGTTTGAAACAGATTGCATGACGGAGAGTATACCAGAAAAATACATGTCCGCCCTGCGGAAGTTAGGTCATTGCGCGGAGGGTATCGCTTGTCACTTGGAATGCTTGAATTGTGGCAACGTACATAGGAGAAACTAGAAAAAATTTTGGTTAGAATGAAAGAACACTTGGCTAACAAAAGGGCCGAAAACCTGCCATCACCGTTAGGCAAACATATGAGGAACATAATGAGGTTTTTTTCAAACATAAAATGTACAATTTTGATGCACAAGGTCCCTACTAGCATCCCTACTAGCATTCATATTATTAAAGTACCGCTAAACGACACCTTAGGAGTAAATCGTCAGTGAAATGTTTTCAACCCATTGTTATATACTACTCACCGGATCCATTGAAACCTAAAGAAGTAGAAAAACAAAAAAAGAATCCCTGGAAATTTTAGGTTCTCCTCATGCAAGTCGTAAGGCAATGCTCGTATCAAAATATGACTGGACCATATATGTTTCTGATGGCCACTTAAGTAGGTAAATTTAAGTTCAGCAAAGGACATTCTGTTCCATGACATCCTATCAGGAAAAGAATTTCATGGGTCCGAAAACAAACTAGTGCAAAAGCCGTTGAGATAAGTTCTGAAGATGTGCAGATCCATCCTAGAGCACACATACGTCTCACAACCGCTTAGTAGCCATTAATTCAAGCAATTACTAGTTGGCTTATCTTAATCTGCTTGCTCTTGTTTGCTAAATGTAATGAGGCACTTCATAGCTCAAAATGAGTGAAAGTCGAACACTGTTGCAGCAAACTCGTGATGCGATTCAAAAGAAAAGCATTCAATACAATCTCAGATCAAAAAACTTATGCAATCAGCTGTGCAAAGAGGGCTCACTACATTTGTATAAAAGGTGGAACATATAAAAAGGCTCTCCGCAGAAAGGGCAGTCATTACCTTTCTATTTCCTATTTCGCTTCGTTAGCGATAAAATCACTTGTTTCAGAAATTGGAACAGGTACTGCGCAATTTGTGCATCTTGAACGGATATGCTGCAGATCCTTGTGATTGGTCCTTGTGCTCCATGGCTCTAGGAGCGGGACCGCCCCAATAGTATTGCATCGCCAAATCAGCAATGGGTGGCGGTCGAGAATAACGATAGCTCTGCCAGCTGCTCGCGCACGTAGAACGACCCACCCTCACTTGTACAGTAAATTTCGACCCGCTTAGGGGGAAGTTGAATTGGCGAGCGTCCGCCTCGCAATGGTTCGCGCCGTTTCGCAACTACGGTATATCATATCGTGCAGAGAATCCAAGTCTACGTCTCTTCATTCTCCGTAGTCTTCGCTTGGCAAAATGCCGCCGCTATGGTTCCGCGATGCGCATGCGCTGCTCCACGTAGGATTTTTCGCCTAAACCGGGATGAAACCGACTGTACGTGAAACTGTCTTTTTATTGAAGTTCGTTTTCTAAACCAATCATACAAGCTTGTACATATTTCACATGCTGATTTGAGCTGAAAACATTTCCATTGCGTATTTGTGGCCATGTGATTGCTGATTATTTCCATCCTTAGAAAATAGCAGAAGCCTTAACATAAAGCGTAAATAAAACAGAACAACGTTTCGGACATTAAGTGCTATAAAATTTAGTGCCTGCGTGAGCTTCCGTTGCTGGGGTAGTGCTCCCTGTTAACCTGTTATTGAAATACGGGCACTCAGGATGTCACTATTGCCAACTTTCGTTATTCTTGAAATGTTAGGTCGTGTAATAAGTTCTGTCCCATTTTTTGTTTTAGTTTTTTCTTGCCAACATTGACTATATTTGAGATATAGTGAATGCGATTTTGAAAGCTCTAAGTCTGTTCTACAGGCTCATAGCAGGCATCACCCAACATAGCAGAAAATTGAAAAAGATTTCATCGTTGAAATAAAAAATCCAAAGAGCCGAAAAATCAATTTTCGACATCTTTTTTCCTCCAAATTTTTCTCAATTTTTATTGCTGAAACATATGAAATGAGCATGACAACAAGCAAAGCAATCTATTAGACTTTTACACTTATTCTATCGCTGTTTGCGCATGTTCCCTTCCTTCCACCGGCTACTTAAAGGCAGCGTCCGGGCAAAATTTCGCCTCTCATGTTTCTGCCATTCTGGGGCCTTTCCGTGGCCCTGAATGCAGCTGTAAAGTCCAAATTGTTCAATACCCCCAAAAAACCCGATTCTTGGGGACCCTCTCTTCAGGAAGCGGACGAGTTTCGGATTGCTCGTCCCCATCGCATGCCAGCGGGAAAAGCTGCAACTGTACGGATGCAGTTGCATTGCAGTGTGCAGTGCAACTGCAATGCAACTGCAATGCAACCGCACACCTGCGTAAGCACTCGTCCTCAGCGGTGGTTTGTGATACGAAGGGGCAGTTTGTGATACGTATCACAGGCCCGTATCTCCTTTTAGAGGCCACTTCAAAGATTCGGACCAACGCAGATCGGATACTCATGGGCCCCTCTGTATAACTATATGCTAACCTGGGTGGATGGATCTTGCCCGGACGCTGCCTTTGAATGGTGCAACTATAGGTACCGCTTTCAACCTTTCACTTTCGTGCCATAAAAATAAGTATCTCGAATCTTTGTTTTTAGTGACACAGATTTGAGATGTTACAAACTAAAACTTGTTCATCTTTGCTGTACTATACTTTTTGAAAGCTAAGGATTTGGTAATCGTTGGGCACTCAACGACGTAGTTCACTTATCCAATCTTTTTTATTTCTAAAGTTTGGTCTCCTTGTGATAGAAACATTTTAAAAATTTAGGTGATTTCGAACAAACCAAGATTAAGACACGGTTCATACAAACCAAGATTATATCACATGATGCAAGAAACCAATCGGATTTCTATCTCAAACTTATTAAATTATTAACTTGACGATTTGGCGAATCAAAATGAGAAGATTTGGAAGTCATTTTTAAGTAGCATGACCTAAGGTTTTTTGAAACTGAAGCACACGGACGTCATAATCCAAACTTTTGAGCAAGTCACATAAGTCGTTGCCGAAAAGACCAAGCTCAAGGCAGTATATAAGGTCAAACACAGTATATAAACCAGCCGCAGCTAGATCCGACATTCACCCAAAAAGTTTTCTTTTCCTTGCACTTCCCAGGCTCCAACAAAAGCTAGCTTCTGCAATAGCAATTCTAGAAATAGCTTTACACTTTCAGTTGACTGGTCTTATCCTACTCATGAAAGGATCCTTAATTTATTAAAACTTTGATTTCTGAGCACGAAAAATTGAAAATGTAGAAGAACCTTTGGATCACTTCATTCTCACTGCAGGATGTAAACTGCATCCAATAGTCGTCTTGAGAAATTTTGGACGATTGAAAATCTTTTTGCACGGTATGCAGAACTCGTAACTTTTCTTTTGCGACGTAAGTGCTCGCCTAAATATGAGATTGTAGGAAGTTTCTGAAGACTTTTTTTTATTTCCGGAAACTTGCTTTTTTCGCACTCTATTGGATTCCGGCGACAATTTTTTGTGAAATTATGTAGAGCAAAAAAAAATTTTCAGCCATTATTTTAATCATAATGGGTGTCAAGTGTTAAGTATAATTAACACAAAGCTTAATAAAAATCCTGTCTACTCTACATAACGAAGAAATCTTCTCGACTATAAAAATTTCATATTTCTTCTGCTTATCCACGAAACAAAAGTTAGCAGTACTTTGAAAAGCATTCGCGGAAACTTCTGATAACTTCATCATGCGAGAAAGATTGTTCGCGATGACTTGATGACTGAGGATGACTCCCCTTTAGCAAGCACAATTATGCATGTTTTGAAACGTTTACTATATTTATGAAGGCAAAAAAGTAAAAAAAAACATAGATTGGCCATATTGAAAGGGTTAGTGCTTTGTACATAAATTAAGTCAGGCTGGATTGAGGGAGAAGAGAACATGCCTCAAAATTTCAGATCCACAAACGCTTTTTTAATTTGTTATCAAAATGTATTCTGTAAACTAGCCAAATATGTTCAAGCAGATGTTCATTCATTAAAAGTTTTAAGATGTTTGGGTTGATTGCTACGCTTTCGCTTGTGGTGGTCGGAGCTCATTCCGCCGTCTTTTCCGATGATTTCGCTTACAACAACATGCTCCCTCTGGCTGCTGCAGCTTATTCAGACCATCCGGATGCATGCGTCAGAAATCACTTTAACGGACAGGTAAGGCGTGATTCTTATCATGAAAGTAGGGAATAGCACATCGTATGCAAATACATTTGTCTCTTCGGAATAGGTGTATTAACTTTCAAAATCTTTGCCTTTGCCTGAAAGTAAGAAGTGAATGGGACAAATGAGCACATGAGGGAGTAGCCTTTGATTCAACTGGATCGGCGGCTGAAAGGCGGGTATTTGCGACCGAATTAAGACCGCTCGCGTCCGCGACGCAATCTGCGTCTCTCTCGCGCGCTTACTCTCTGATCATTCTCTAGCCTTAACTGAGCCACGAAGCCGCCTTCCAGCCGCCAATCCAGTTGAATCAAAGGGTAGAAACAGAGACTATCCCCATTAAAGACACAAGAAGATATGCTTCACGTATTCACAGCTGCCATGCATACATTTGTCATCATCACATAGGTAACAAAGAAAGTGAAGCATGGCATGGCAAAAATCAAATTAAATCAGGCGAAGCTGCTAACATACTCATGGCCATATATAGGTAAATGTAATTTTCGCATTCATACAGACAAGGTCTTGAAATAAGCATTTCCAAGCTCTAACCTTTACACTCATCGCCTGCACTTTTACTCAAAGCTGCTACAAAGTGTGATGATGTGCACTAGAGTCTAATGACTGGGAATGAGCAATGTGATTACTAGTATAAAAAAAAGATTTTTCGTTCTTTTAAAGGAGATAATGCTTTCAAAGCAAAGATTGTTCAGATCTACAGATTTTACAAGGTGGACTGCAAAGGCCCTTGGAGCGGAACTGCATCAGTCTCATGTGCGGCATATACGGCCCTGCTACCCAGTAGGAAAGCAATAGTGCTGAGTTTCAGGTTACTTTAAAATTATATGTCTTTATATGTTCAATGATAAGTCCTTGAACGACTACAGGGCTTCATTAACATTGCTTTAGATAATTACCATCCACATAGGCGTTGACTAGGGCCCGCGGCGGAGGTGTTAGAAGCAGGCTAAACTTCGTACATTGGCAGAAAAATTATATCGTAAAAATGTCATACAGGCATATGAGCGACCAAGTAGACCAACACACTTTTAAAGAGAGGTTACTACAATAATGACATGCTTCACCGTGTTTTTTCAGCAAGCGATCTGAAAAAAGCAAGGTTAAAACATTAGCTTGTTTGCAGTTCAGAACCAAACTCATGACCTCTCGAGGTTATCCAAAAATTTACTCTTGGACAGGAATGCTGACCCAGCCTTGTCTTTCTTTTTCTAATTGAAACAGCTCGCTATACTGTACTGCATTCCAAACTATGCCATTTGCAAGTGTCGCTTACCTTAAAGCGTTTTCAAGCGAAGCGGAATTCGCATTTGAAGCTTTCAGTTGCGGTGTCAACATTCGTATTTTTGCCCTCTTTCTTCCTCTTTCCCTTCGCACATGCATTCCACCTACGCTCGCTAATTTTACTCATACTTCTCAAGATCAAGAACGTAAATAAGTTGAAAATTGTTGCTCCATTTCGTTAATATATGTGATTTTGTGTATGCTCGCTGCTTTTCAAAAGAGCCTTTGTAAAATTAATGATAGGTAAGTAGTATCTCTGTTTTGGAAAAGCTTAAGCGGTGCGTGCAGGACCCTAATCTAGACTTAAGGCTTACCTTTATTTGCAAGTACCTCCGATAATTATCCCTAACAATAAGTATATAAAACGATAATATTTGGTACCAATTTTATTTCAACAATATTACACTTTGTTTTTTACAGAGGGACAAACACACCCATGCAGCTTTTCAAGGAACTTGTTCATTGTAGATTGAGTCAAGAAGTAAGTCAAGCTATCACAAAATGCTTGTATGAGCGGAAGTTTTTTTTATAGAAAGAATGGCTCGGTGTTGCGCAGGTGAACACCTACTTCCTTAGTGCTTTCAACGACTTGTTTCACACGAGAATGGATAAACTAGAAAGGAGCACTATGTATGATGATGTCAAAGATCTGATTAAGCAACACTCAGAATATGAGATTTGGGTACGCGCTTTAAGGAGAAAATTTTCCTTATTATGTGAGTTCAGATAACTGGGCACTCACTGGGAGGTGCATTGGCATCTCTGGCGGCATCTTATTTAGTGGAGAAAAGATTTGCACCGAGCTCAAAAATAAAGTTAATGACGTTCGGCCAGCCCAGGACAGGCGACGAGGAATTTGCTGATAGGTTTAATAAAACGGTATGACAACACGGTATACGACTACAAGCACATCTGTATGTAAAAAAGTTTTCGAAGCTTGAGCAGCACCTATTTTCCGCACATTATTCTATCCGCGGTCATCTGAAAAAGAGGAGAAGGAAACAATTTTATAAGATTTAGCGCTTACGAACATTCTATTTAGAACATGTAAAGAAAGAAAAAAGTAAGGAAGAGGTTTGGGAAATAGCATCACACGTCTTGAAATTCGAAACTCTTTACAAGCAGAGTTTATTTCTTTTACTATGCAAAGCAAAAAGCGAAACTATGCATGCTTAGACTATCTTAGTATAAAGTCTTAAAACAATCTCTAATTTGAGAGCTAATACTGTCACTGGTTTTTACCCTTTGCAGATCGACTATGCATTCCGCGTCATCCATGCCAATGATGGGGTACCTCATGTCCCACCCGAAAAGTTCGGATACCGCCATCATAAACAGGAGGTGAGCATTGTGAAACATTCCATTACGGTGCACTCTGTTCGTAGTAGTTTTCGGCTAATAATCGTTTAAGTTGGTGTCTGAACGATGAAACAAGTGGACAGAAAATTGTCAAATTGAGTTAAAGAAAATTCTATTCAAGGGAATCTTGCAATTGGCGTGCCAATACGCAAATCAGCGAGAAATGAAGGTGCACAGTCGCAATTGCACCACTTTTCCACGCGCCTAACACAATAGGCAATGCCTTAGCCACCAGTTTCGATCTTCAGCTCACCTTATCAAGGACATTAAGAGATCTGAGAATGACCGCAAAAGAAACCACAAAAGAAAATTTGGCAACAAACTTGTTTTTGCTAGTTGTGTGTAGCGCATTCGTTGAGAGAGATACTATGTGCAAGGGGGCCCTGACTCGTTGTTACTTATAGGCATGTAGTATCCAAAAAACTTTTTTTTTTCGAGAAAGTTCTCTTTGTTTGACCACACGGTAACCTGCAATTTTTCTTCATTCGCATGTATAGCTTAGGAAAGCACATCTAAATACGGCGTGGTGATTTAGTTTGTCAGAGGACATGTAGAATATGAACGCGAAGAATGTAGTGAATGTGCGATCGCAATTAAAACGTTTCTGGAGTGACCTATTATCTACTTCTGTATTGTTGCAACCTATATGGTGAAAGGAGACAAGGAATTTGATCACACAATCTAGAAATATTCTTAGCACATTTCACCCCGCGCACCTTTACAAGCAAATCGGCTTGCATGTGACAGGATATAAATGCAAATAAGCAAACTTGCCTAGGAAAAAAGCGCATTCGAAATGAGATAAATATGTTTGCTGTAAAAAGTTCCTTTTTTCGCCCATGTTTGCCGCTCTTTGTTATGTTTTAGCCGCTCCTCGTTAACTGAGCTATTAAATGGGAAGGTTTTCTAAAAAGCTGTTTTACCAGTGACTTCTAATACAACTACTGCTTACAAACTTATTCAGGTTTACTACTCTGGGCAAGACATGTTAGCAGGGAAAGGGAAAATGTGCAACCCCGGTACAAAATTATGGTTTTTGTTTATCGACAACAACACATCTTCCGATTACAGGTCAATGCAGCGATAAGATTAACTGGCTTACCTACGATTTCTCTAATACCCATAAGTGCTATTATGGAAAGTACGTCAGCGAATGGGGAATTAGTGGATGTGTCGTAGATGACGAATATCGTAAAAAAGATATCTGCACAACTGATGCATAATTTTGAAAAGAATACACATTCTTGCATCTACTTGTTTCATTTACACCCTTCAGCATTTTAATTAGTTTCAGATATATTATCAAAAAACGAGATTGTACTCGGCCTTGTCCAACATTGAAAGGACAACAGCATAAGATAAGAATGACAACCAAATCGCTCCAAATCCCTGATAACAAGCAAATAACCGCGGCAAGCTTGGTGTCCATTGTGCGTCACGCATATATGAGTGTTTTCAACGAAGTGGCTTCATTTTGCTGCCACTCTGCTTTCATGTTATTTTATTTCCATCATGAATTCTGCTACCATTCGAGTAGATTTTCCGCTTGATATATTGTGCTTGCACAGCAAGTGAAATGCGGTAGAATTTGCGCATGAACAAATAGCCAGCCAGTAATGCCGTCACGTGCATAGCTACTTGTTTACGCGCAGGTTTTACGCAATTTACCTGCAGTGCAAGCACACTATATTACAGGCAGTGACTCGGCAAATCTCGATCTGTGGTTTTCTCGCTTACTTGGGGTGATTCGACGCGCTGAATCCAAAAATTCAACCTGAAGAGCGCGAAAATGGCGGTAACTAGCACTTCTCAAGGCCCTTTGTTTTGAATCTGAACGAGCGGAACGCTCCCGCCACGGTTAAAGACGTAGAGTCGTTGCGGGATCCTCATGTTCAAGCACTGCGGCATGCCGCTTCTGACGGTGTGAGAGATATCGCAAGCTCGTCCGAGCGTGTGTTAGAGTAGCTTGTGTGCACGGGTTTAGGACCAATTTTTAGGCAGAGCTAGCATGCTGTGCGCTCGGACCTGCACCGTTCGCATGTTGAGAGTGCAAGCAATCTTTCATGAAAATTTCGAGATATTTGGTCTTGCCGAGCCACTGCCTTTAAACAGAAAATCTACTCGACTGTACTTGTATACAGCACTCCCGCAATCGGAGAGTTAAATTCACATCCTTGTTACATACTCTTTGCTTCAACCAGATTGGCGGTTGGAAGGCGGGGCTTCGTGACCTAGTTGAAGCTGGGAAATGATCAGAGTGAGCGCGCTCGGGAGAGACGCAGACGCGTCGCGGGCGTCCCTGATTAGGTCAGAACGTCTCGGCTTCCAGCCGCCTATCCAGTTGAATCAAAGATTACTGTTAGTGCTTTATTGAACGCGCTGCGAAGTTTTTCAAGGAGTCAGGAATTAAGAGTCTACACTACGATAATAGCAGCAAAAGACTTTGTTATTGCTTTCAGTAAGTATAAAGAAAATGAGAAGTGAACAGGAACGTAAAACAGCGGCAAAGTCATAGTGATGACTGATTTGTCCGCATCATATGAGCATTCGACGTAAGTTACTTGAACCTATTTGAGCACCAAGTCTCCAAGCAGAACTCGAGATACAACTGACCAACATGTGTGAACAGTGCTTAAGTGCAACAACCTAATGTCAGTAAAAAGTAACGTTTTGACGAATTCTTCACATCGATTTTGAAATTAGTTCTTGTCGATATATGTGAGCACTTAATCAAACCGCAACTACTTGAAAGGAACCGCAACTACTTGAAAGGATCGAGATTGAAGAACTAAACCATTAAAACAACCACAAATTTTAAGTAAGGTAGTTTGACGATTTGATGGAGATTTTGAAAGGACCACAACAGAGATAGCACCATCATACACTTTTGCCGCGAACAACGGGAGCGATAGTTGTACAATGATCTGAGACCGTAGATTCTAATAATTCACAGAACTAAGTATGCTTCCTATGTGTTTCCAAAATCTGGTGGTTTACTTAAGCTCCTAATACAAAAATCATATTTCCGCTAAGCACAACGAAGAAGAGTTTTCTTGATATTTTTATTACGACTTGATCGTAATACCATGCTCTCTCTAGCTGCTGCAGCTTATGTTAGCAATTCAAGATTGGCATCGGATACCATTTTAGTAATGCCAAAGGTTTTCAACAAAAGTATCAGATAGCGCAGCGCATACCGAATACGTATAATTTATAGTACAAAATGTACTCATTTGAGATTTTGCGGTCTGTCATGTGCCCGACTGACAGAAAATGACTAGTCGAATGGTTTTCCAAAAAGAGAAGTTTTGATTGCATGGTACGCTGAGTTCAAATGTTTTCCTTATCTGTAAAGCTCTCTGTGAAGCTCTATCTGTGAAGACTCATGAGCGTTTGAAGCAAGACGTGGATGCGCTGCTAAGATAAAATCTAATATTTCTAGCCATTAAAGCAGGTGTATATAAGTTGTTTAGAAGTTTTTGCTGCGTGAAGATCTCACTGCTGTAGTCGATAGTAAAAAAATTGTTACGGCTGTTCAAATTATTGCACCAGTAAACGCTCATAACTCCTCATCGAGGAAGCTTTGAAGATAGCTAGATTCACCTTCATGCAATAAAGCCAACAACATCTTACTTAACAAGGCCACTTCTACTGACCGATTTCCTTGTTTTCCGTTGTTGCGCACAACCTTCTGCCACCTTACCGTAAAATTTTCATTTTCATTTAAAGCAATCTAATTTTTTTTGTCTCATACTGAAGGGAAAGCTCCATTTATATTCAAAAAAAGGCAAACCATGCAAAAACACTTTGCAAAAAAAGCGGGCAGGCATCGAAAATGCTTCTTACCCTTTGAAAACTCCACATTTGTAAGCTAAAAAATCGAAGTGGTTTAGCTTTTCGTAGAAATCAATGCGTTGATTATAAAGAGTATGATTGGCTCTTTTCAATGATGCGCGCAGCTTGCCGCAAGTCAATGGCCCTGAAATTAAGACAAGAATGAAAACGCGACGAACTTATGGGAAGGCCCAAAAAAGGCGTTTCAAGTTTGCGCAAGATTTCTATATTCTGTTTCAAAGATCGCATAAAAAATTTGCTTCAATACTTCCATATAAGTAGCCCTGACATTTTTTAGAAGTCGGCAAGGCAAGACTTCGTTACGGCGATGTTCGCCGTCTCGCGTACCCAAGCTGTGTAGCTCCGAAAATTAGCATTTTGAGTATTTAACCTACGAATTCGGTAATTTTGAAGCCACAAACTATCCCTTCTGTCTTTTTTAGATGATCCGCCTACCGTCTTCCTCAGGATGCTTTCAGATGATGCCCAACACCAACGTTAAAAAAGGCGTTAGAAAGAAGAATTTTTTCTAAAGTCTACAGAAATGATTTTTGAAAAGTTTCAGCACTCCTGAAGCGCAATAGAAGTTAGAGCATTCTTTGCTCACGTGTAGCAAATTCTTCAAGCTTATTCGTAGGCAATCTGACTAATTAGGAAGGCGACGTAACGTAGTTGTCGAAAGTGAACTTTTTCCCTGTTTGATATTCCAAATTTGACGCTGTAGAACTTTTTCATGTCATCTGATGTAGAAACCCGAATTGAAAGTTTAGTAAAAAAAGGCTTAAAGCTTTCAAATGCATATAAACCATTTACAGAACATCGCGGGAATTATTGAGAAAAAAATCGAAAGAAAAAATGGGGCAGAATTTATTACACAACCTAATATATTCATCAGCAATCACTGGTTGTCGTCTGCTCAAATACCAGAATAATTTTAAAATCAAAAAGGGCTGTCGGAAATTTGACGTATCTATAATGGGATCACGCATCAAACTGAGACCTAACAAACCATACTAAAAAAATTGCCATTGACCTACCTTGCAGCAGTTAAGCTGCTAAATCACAATTTGTTCCGACAGCCAGAAAAAAAGAACGCTGAGGAGAGCGACGACCACTAAAAATTAAGGGCATTAATGCAGCGTATTTATTACAGCGCAGAGTATGTAAGAAATATCTACAAAACATGCTGTGCATTTGACTTCCAAATATCCCTACTCCTCTCCTACAAAAACAATACCCTTATTTTAGCAGTATGGATTCAGTTTAGAAAGTGGTGCGAGTAACTGTGCTCATTCTAGAATTTCACAGGCAAGCTATAGCTAGTCTTAAACCGAAAACTTTTTTGTAACCATTTTCAATCAATTCTCGCTGACCTTCGCTTTACTTAAATCAGTATGAGTGTGCTTTTCTAAAACGAGTAACAATTGCAACTTTGTCACATATCCTGAGGACATCACGATACCGTTGCGTGACGGAAACAATCATAATCGGTCCACTGCGCAGCCAGATACTATTTCTCTCTTTCTTTTCATTTCTAAGAAATATATCGAATTGCAGAATGGCAGAGACGACACTAATCCGTCTAATTTTCTCATTTTTTCAGCAACAGGCTTGGATCTTAGTATCCGTGATACCGTTGCCTCTTGGCGAACAAAACGATTAATATGTAAGTAAGGGACGTAGAGCTACATAGAAGATGAGCTTAATGTTTCTGCAGGGCATTCACACTAGTCGTTACACTTTGCCTTGCGGCTTCACTCAATGCTGTCAGATTATTTGACTACAACTTCGTTAGGAATCAAATGTTCCCTCTGGCTGCCGCCGCCTATTCGGATGAGCCAAGGGGCTGCATACTCAATCGCTTAGGCTATAATGGAACTCATGGGAACTTGGTAATTCGCTTTTTATTATATCTGCTCTTTTCTTCGAAAGAGGACATGACAGCACGAGCTGAGCATGATAATTATTTGCAAGTACAGAAAGTTCTGCTTAAAATTCAAACATCTTTGCTTGTGCACGTTGCGTAAAATGTTAAAGCAGATCTTTATCGCGTGCGTTAATTGCTCGAAAGAAAAAGTACGCTTTTTCTTGTTAGTAAATGGAGAGATGCCTTAAAAAGGAAAGCGCTTTCAGGCCTGCATACACGTGCACCCCCCCCCCCCGCGGGGAGGAGAATTTCCTGAAAGGGGAAGCGTCATATCTCGCTACTACAATAATCTTTAACCTTTTTTCTCTACTTGACTTAGGAAGGTTCTCATATACGTGCGTATAATGGATGCAAGGTTACAGCCATGGGGATCCTCAGGGGGATCACACAACATAATGAAAAACTCTCATTTTCAGCGCTAATTATCTTTCTGAAAACTCAACGAAAACTGTGAAATTGTAATGAGGATATAATTGGCACAGCCAAACATGTTTTTGGCGGGAGAAGTAAAATTCAAAGCTTGTGAATTTCCGATAATCTCTAGCTCGCGAGCAGTGGTTCATCGAAGATTTTGAATTTCTGGGATTTTACTTGTTTTAGCTATAGTCGTGTTCGATAGTGTCATACTACATCCTCAGCACAATGTTCCAACGGTTTCGTTGACTTTTTGAGAAGGTAAATGACTTTGTAATGAGAGGTGATCCTTTGAGGATTCCAGCGAATCACACAAGATAGTGAAATTGTGTTCTTGTATGACAGTACCATGGCAACTATTATGCGCAGGTATCAGGGTATGAGAGTTCGTAGCCAGATTGAGAAAGCAGAAAGAAGGTATCTAAAGTAGCGAAATACGTGGTGTCCCCTCTCAGATCCCCTCCCCTTTCCACGGGGATGTACGTGCATGTGGGCTTTAGTAATGGCCGCTTGAAGTTAGATTTATGTTGATGAACTCAGATGAAAACTGCCATCTCAACAAAAAGCTGGCGGTGAAAAGATTCGATCCTGGAACCTTCTCTGCCATAAAGATCATACTCAAGGCACCATTAAATCGTTGCTGCACCACCTGCAGTGCTGTACCAAATAGTGCATTCAGTTGGACCTACAAGTTTTTCAGAAGAGTGTACGGTAGGTAACGATTGCGGCTTTATTCAGCATTCATGACTGACTTCAGTGTCATACTTCTAAGCTCAAATGGTCACTCCAAGTTTTTCTTTCTAATTTAAAGTTCAACAACTTATCAGATGATATGAGGTATTTTTGCCCAGCAGTGAGGTAAACATTCATAAAATTAGTGGTGCATAGTGCTTGCAATACATGCAGGAAGCAAAATGATTCTGCGTTTGTAGATGAAATTTGAAAGGTTGTAACGCTAGTACGTTTGTCATAACTGAATAATAAAATTATCCTCAAAACTTCTATATTACATTTTGAAACACCAGAATATTCGTAACGAGATTTTTTTTCAGTTCTTTGACCATAATCTTGTTCAATACGATGGTTTTGAGAATGACTGCTATGGATTCCTAGCCACACTAACCGAACAGTCGGCGATAGTTCTTAGTTTCAGGTCAGCTCTACCTTCAGTTTACAGCAGTCGTATTTACAATAATTTTTGGCTAGATAACGAACCGAAAGCTTCGCTCTGAAGCTAACATGTGCAACGCTTATATCAGCGTCTATCTTCGGGGAATTAAGCTATCCGCCCACTTCAGTGAACACAAAAGAAGACTGTAATGTCGTCAGCAGGAGATGAGCCAAGCATCTCAGTGGAAGCGGCTCGTGTTCGATGTTGCATACGATATATAGGAGGATATGCTTGTGCGGACGGATGCATTATAACTCACATTGCTATTGAATCCAGCTCTGCTAGTTGCGGTCTTTCTGTCAGGAGGGGTATGACTGCGGCCGGCCAAAGCCCTCCAGTATGGTTTTAGCGTTCAAATAATTCAAAAGTGAAGGTGACTATCGTAAGCGGCAAGCTTAAATTATAATACGCTCTCATAATGATCATTGCTCTGCTTGAGCGCTTTAAAACTTCAACGTGCACGCACTGAAGCGGTTACCAACATTTCAAATCACTGCCTTACGTCACAATATGACACCTGGTGGTCTATTCGGAGTGATGCTGAAAAGGACGAGAAAAGAAGCACATGTTGGATATGGGTAGTGCGACCAATATTATGCTCATAATCACTTTTCTGGGCTCATGGGTTTGAACAGAACTACCTGGTATTGACCAGATTCGTGGGCCAATTATCGAGCAACCTCGCAGCACATATACACTTCCTGCGTAGTGTTTGAGGGGAGGCCGTTGTAAATTATAGACAAGGTCGACCTGATAGCACATTACAACAAAATAATTAATCATGATTTCGGATCCGCTTTGGTTTCGCATAAGCTTTCCTGCAAACACCTCGTTCGCCATCACTTTCGTGCTAGTCAAGACAGCCTGTGCTAAAGAACATTTGCAGCATTTGTCCGTTACTGAGACACTGAGGTCTGCTTTGAAGATGAAAGTCTCAGCCGCAAGCGCAGAATCTGAGCTGCCGCTCAGTGTCTAGTCGCAGTGTCTTGATTAAAGAGCCCTAAAATTACTATCAACGTGAGATCCGCATAAGTCTAGATTTGATCAACGCTGCTTCTAAACAAAACGTTTGATTTGCTTCCGGCAGCTTACAATATAAATCACGTCTAAAATGTCCACACGTCTCCAAACAGACCGATGAATGAATTCACTCATAACGCTTGTGAACTTCTTGTGTAATCCTTTTCAAAATAGAGAACTTTACAGAATGCTAGAGCTAGGGAATACCCACCAAGTAGAACAGCGAGCAGACGTGCAAATCTTGCAAGACTATTTGAAATAAAGAAATTGCTTCGGATCAGTGTCCCTAGTTGGGGGACTAATACCATGTTATGTTAAGATTGCAAAGCATTGTATCTTCCAAAACGCTGCCTTCGTTTACGTGCTAAGTAAAGGAACTTGGAAATGTTTTTCAGGGATGCCAGTCTGGATGCCACGATGGGAGCGGCAACCCGAGCTGCGCCGAACGTGACACTCAGGTTGGAATTCCCTGCAGCTCAACAGTTATTATTACAGAGGCACCAATTATCTAAGTCAACTCAAAAACGAAGTTGCCACCAGCGCTGCTGTGGTAATTTGTGTGAAATAAGTAGATCAGCTGTTGCTTAAGGTCCCCATGGGGTCAGGTGAAGTGTCTTGGTACTTCTACAATGCCTTCTCAAATGTGTGGGGAAATGACGCAAAAGGCGTAAAAGGTCTAGAACGTGCCTTCAAGAACCAGATCGAACGACACCCTAAGTACGAAATATGGGTATGTATTGAATGCACAAAGATCGTTTTCATGTGACCAGAAACTTTAGGTGACCGTCCATCGCTCGGAGGTGCCATGGCGTCTCTGGCAGCGTATCACATCGCCAAAACTTATAACAAGATATCTGAGCGGATAAATGAGCGGATAAAGCTGGTAACATTCGGAGAGCCAAGAACAGGCAATGCTGCATATGCTGAAGACTTCAATAAAAAGGTAGAAATTTACATAATCATTTACACAGCATGCTCGAATACCCGCTCTGCCTTGCTCTGTCAGTACACTATGTCAGTATACTAAAAACTACCACCTCTACTTTATATAAGTTTTTTTGTTCTTATTCTTCTTCCGTATGCCAGTATTCACTTCTCCCACTACGTTTTCGTATTCAATTTTTTTTCGTGCTTATTTACCCACTGTGCCTGATGGTGGAGTAAAGCACAATTAGCATGAGTTTTCAAGTCTCTGAAACTCTACGCAGACTTTTTAAAATTCTCTCCAGTTTTTTTGAAACTTGTACATTTTCAAGTTTGTGTGAAGTTTGTATCATATCGTTCAAATATGGCTCAACATGAGATAATTTAGAAAAATCTAGAAACTTTCAAATATGGCTCAACGTGAGATAGTTTAGAAAAATCTAAAAACTAAGAAGAGAAATCTTAACAAACTGTCGTGAGGTCTGAAATTTTGGTCATTATTTTTTCGCAGATCGACTACGCATTTCGGGTCGTCAACGAAAGAGATCCAGTGCCGCATGTTCCATTTTCTCCACGTTTACCATTTTCTTCAAAACCCGGATACTACAGTCACCATAAGTATGAAGTGAGCAATTTGATTTTGGCAATTCGTTTTTTTTTGTTGAAATTATCAGCCATAAAAACATCGAGTAAGTGCTTATAATGCGTAAGAGTTATGTATGATTTTTGTTCAGGAGATTCGACCCTTAGGACGCTTAGATGTTCTAGATCTAGCTTCAAAGTTTACGGATCACGATTTTTGCGTATCTCTGGTGTCATTTTGAAGAGCTTGCTTGGCTCTATCGTGCATTCGTATAATTTTAGGGATTCTTTTTTTGCCTTTCAATTTTTTAGGGTCTCGTTTCTTATACACGCTATTAGAAACATATTATTTGGGAGCAAGAGGACTTAGAAAACTTACTTCTTATCCAAACATTTGTTGCAATCTAAAACATTTTTGAATTGGCGGTCATTAATTACAAATTTATTAAGGTATGGTTCCCGAATGGCATGGGGCCTCGTTCAAAATTCTTGGTCTGCCATGGTAAAGAAACCTTGAGACTTTTTCCGCTTTCAAATACTTTACTTGGAAAAGAAGCCATTCTATCTTTCAGATGAGGCTGAATCCAACGAGAGGTGCAGCAACCAACTTTATGTAAAAGGAATACTTTGGCATCATACAAAGTACTTTGACAAGAAGGTCAGCGACTATGGAATCAAAATGTGTTCGGTATAGGGTGTAATCATTGCCAAATACATATATGCATCATCTGTTGAAGTGTGTGGTATCATAGTGTTGCTACCACACACTTCAACAGCATGTTTCACTCACGAGGCATCTCACCTTGTGTTTAACTAGCTCCATGAGCGTACAAGGGTTGCGCCATAGAGTTTTGTCTCACCTGACCAGAGAGAGCAAAATATCGCACAAAGCAAAAATCTTCAGATTTCTAAACAAGCAGTCGCAGTACATTAAGCTCTTACGAGAAGCCCGCACACTTGTTGGCTTTCCTTTCTGCACACCCAGATAAATCTCTCTGAAAGCGCTGTTTGAATCAAATGGTTTAAAGGAAAGCTTCAATAATTTAATTTTTGATTCAACTGGCTTGGCACCATTAGGGCGGAGTTTTGTGGTCTAGTTGAGACAGCTCGCGCCCGCGACGCACCTGCGTTTCTCTCGCGCGAGTGCTCTCTGATCACTACCTAGCCTTAATTAGGTCAGAAAGCCTTGCCTTTGCCGATGCCAAGCCAGTTGAATCAAATGGTATTTGTCCAAGCTACATGCTTCCGCTACAGCTGTAAGGTCGAAGGCATAGAAATCTTGTCGCTACGCAATCTTACACCGCAAAGACTCTTCATCATTAGTCGTAAAGGCGCTTTGTTTGTGCCAGACTTTATGGCATCTTGGATTCGTAGACATCTGCCAAATCGCCAAGTCGCCATAGCGCTTTGGCGGAATCGCGAAAAGTACGCCGTAGGCCTAAAACTTTTCATCATTCACTACATGTAAGGAGGCTGTAGAAGTGTGCACGGCCAAAGAGAGCAATGCGAGTCGCGACAGCTAACATCTTAAACTGCTCGCAGGAATGGCTATATCACTGTGAAGTCCCGGCAGCGAACATCTATTGGACACGCAAACAGTAGCCCATGCGAAGTAAGAACAATGACAATAAGATCCCTCTCTGTATGTTTTTTTTTGTTCGACAGTTTCAGTAAAGCAAACCAAATGCATAGTAGCACATTTTGAAAATGGGGTTATGCTGTGCAACATTCTCAGTAAACATCAGAAAGTTGTTTGAAACAGATTGCATGACGTAGAATATATACCGAAGAAATGCATGTATGCCCTTACGGAAATAAGGCGATTGAGCTGAGGGTATCGCTTATCACTTGGAACGCATGAATTGTGGCACGACGTACATAGGAGAAACTGAAAGAATTCTAAGTGTTAGTGGAAAATACCTGGTTAATAAAAGACGAGAAAACCTGTCATCACCATTAGGCGAGCATAAGATTGAGGTACATAATGATGGCGATTTTTTGAACATGAAATGTACAATTTTAGTGCACGAGGTCAAAATCTCCGCGAAAACCACTAGAGGCTGCAGTGGATATAGCGGAGTATGGACAACAGAAATGACCGAGTGACACAAACGGCCGATCTCTTGCCTCTTTCAGTCTGCCCCAATCCCAACCAGGCCAAAGTTGGCATGGTGGGAGCCCCGGGTCGCTGGGGTTTCGCCGTCACAACTATGGCCTGCTTCTCTGCTCCTCTTCAATCCTTTTGCTCTTTACGACAGCGCGCATAAGCAGCGCGGACCGCTAGCGCTGCGAGTGCGCAAATTTGCGCTGAGGGTTCTGCCTGATCTCGAATGGAGCAAACTGTATGTCACAATGCGACCTACAGTAGCGCAGTATGTGTTGCTCTTGACTCACTGCCCTTGACTGACCAACAGTGATGTCCGTCAGATTCGTGCGGAATACTGACCGGTGAAGTAGAAGTCGGTGAATTAGTTTTAAAAAGTTGGATTGTTTCTCAACACATTGCGCCTCAACGAGGTTTGAACGGCGGAAGTTTGATGAGGCGTTTGGGTTGGATCACGCGGCAAAGTTTCGAAGATTTACTTTTCAGCCCTCGCTAAACCCTCGTCTTAAGCTTCACTTACTTTATGCGTTCATACTGATCCGGAAGTCTGGGAAACAGTTCCAGCACAGCGATCAGTTCGAGCGCTGTGCTGGAAATGTTTCTGTATACTGTCTGGAACTATTTGAACTCAGCCTTTTCCAGCTGAGATTTTGTCTTGTTTTTCACTTGAGAGTACAATCGGCATGTTTTTCTCCTTACTAATTACAATTTGACAGTGCCCTCATCTCCGTCAAGTCCTGAGATGTAATTTACATCCCTTTTTTGATCGATCTATTGAAGGAACTTTGTTTAGTCGGAGTAGCTTTTTTAGATGTAATGTATACCATAGCTGAGAGCATAAAACGCTGGATCAAATGCTTTCCTAATCTGCGGAACGTTTGTGGACGAGAATTTATAAGATTTTATTTGTGCAAAAAAATACATGTGCAAGTAGGACAAAAGTAGTCGTAAGTTTTTTCTAGAACTTCAATGGAGCAGTGATGAGTATTAGAGCACCACATTCAATAAATACTCTTGGATAAAAAGTCATACTTGGTGGCTTTTTAAGAGGGCTATCAAGATTTTAACAGCTCCTTTTATCCCGAGTGCACATTCACTTCTTTGTTCCCAAAACGCTTATTTTAGAGGTTGCTATTGTTGCCTTTCAATTTTTTAAGGGATCTTCTTGTTATCCACGTCTCAAGGAACATACAATCTGAGAGCAAAAAAACCTAGAAAACTTTCACATACTTCTCATTTGAACATTTGTTGCAACCTAGAGCATTTCTGACCTGGCGGTCCCTAATTGCGAACTCATTAAGGTATGGTTCCCGAATGGCATGCAGCCTGATTCAAAATACGAAGTGTGCTTTGGTAAAGAAACTATGAGACTTTTTCCGCTTTTGAATACTTCACTTGAAAACAAGCCATTCTATCTTACAGATGAAGCTGGATCCAACACGAAGTGCAGCAACTCACTAAAATTTCCCATCAAAGCATGGACAGATCATAGACACTACTTCGGAATACTCCTCAGCGACTGGGGATTAAAGGGATGTCCTGTTTAATCATTGCCAAATACATTTCCGCATTCATCTGTGTTGCTACCACACACTACAACAGCATTTTTCACTCACCAGGCTTCGCACCTTGTGCTTTAACTAGCTCCGTAAACGTACGAGGGTTGTGCCATAAAATCTTATGACTGTTTGTGAAAAACAAAGCTTATCTGAGCAGAGAGGTTGAAAAATTGAACAGAGCAACAATACTTAGATTTTTAAAAGAGCAGTCGCAGTACATCAAGCTCACACGAAAACCCCCGCTCATTGTTGGCTTTCCTTTCTTCACACCCAGATGAATCTCTCTAATGGCACTGTTCGAATCAATGTTTAGAAATGAAAGCTCTAAGAATCTACTTGTTCAAGCTACATCTGTCCACCCTACAGCTGTAAGACCGAAGGCATACCTCAGACGAATTCAGTCGCTGCGCGATCTGGCATCGCGAAGACTCTTCATTATTGATCTTAAAAGCCCTTTGCTTGGGTTGGATTCCATGCTTTTGCAACAACTCACAGAAATTACTCACTCGTGCATTTAAACCCGCTCACGCTGATTCTGTGGAAATCCGGCAAACGCCAATTCGCCATAGCGTTTTTACGGAATCACAGAAAGTATGCCTTAGGCCTATAACTTTCCATCATTCACAAGATGTACAAAAGGCTGCAGAAGGGTGCACGGCAAAATAGAACGATTCGAGTCGCGACAGCTAGCATCCAG